TCTGTATACCCCAAATTCATCTTGTCTTCTGTTCTAGGTAAGGAGATTATAATTATAGAAGATCTGATCAGGAAACTCATAGGATATGAGGAGACTGATGGAGTATCTCATCTTCCAGCTGGGCGTGTAGATATGGAAGAAGTTTATGAGGAAGTCATGACTGCTGGACAGGCCTCTAACAAGTTTAAAGATCTGAATCCTGACTATAAAATCTGGGCAAATATTTTCATGGGATGCATTCATCACATAAAATCTACAAATTCTCCAGACTATGTGAACAATGAACAGCTCTACTTCATGTACTGTTTAAGTCAAAGCACCAAGGTAGATCTTCCTTACATTCTGTTCATGCATTTATGGAATTATATTAATGCTTCAAGAGAATCTGTAAAAGATAAGGGTCAGAAGATCAGAACATGGATTCCCTTTGGAAGGTTAATTTTAGATATTCTGACAGAAAATGGATTGGTGACTGCTCTGTATGCTGCTGGAGTCAAGGAGGAACTTGAATCTATTGTTGGGAAACCTCTGAATGCCAAGAGTCTTCATAGACTAAAAATTGTAGAGGACCTCACATCAGCACCCAAGAAGATGAATATCTCTGAACTTAGTCAGAAGCGAATCCCAGTTGAAAACTACCCATTGTTCTGTGTTGAAGAACCAAGGGAAATAATTGTAAGGTATATTGATTCTTGCAAGGCAGATGGAACCCCAATTCCTGCAGATATTCTAAAAAGAGCAAGGGAACCAATGCCTGATGGAGGAAATGAGAACACAAAGAAAAGAGGACAATCAGAAGCAAAAGATGTGACTGTTCAGAAGAAGCCCAAAGTTGCTGACAAGCCTCAGAAGCTGATCAAGAGGAAAGCATCTGGAGACGCTCCCTCTGTTCCCACAAAGCGTATCAAGATTAAAGGTACTAAATCTTCTATATCCTCTTTCAATAAAACTGTTTTTTAAATGAATCTACATTCAATTCTATTCCAAAACCACCTCCTACTCAGAAACAATTTGTTCCTGCTCCACCTCATAATTCTGAACCATTAAAAATTCCTTCCCCACAAAAATCCTCTGATCCTGTTTCCACCACACATGTAAAACCTTCTACTAATCAATCATCTGCACCAACACCAATAACAACAACACCAGCAAATCAAACTCCATCATCTATAACAAAACCAACAAAACAATCGAACAACAACAACAACAACCAGAAAAACAACCACAACCAAAAAAACCAACAGAACAATCTGAACAACAACAACAACAACAACAACAACCAGAAAAACAACCACAACCAGAAAAACCAACAGAATAATCTGAACAATAACAACAACAACCAGAAAATCAATCACAACCAAAAACAACTCAATCAAACAGATCTGAACCTATTGCATCTGCACAAGTTCTTTCTGAACCTATACAATCAAATCAAGTGGCATCTGATCCACCTACATCTGATCCACCTTCATCAGAACCACCTACATCTGCACCTCCATCAAAATGTTCTGAGAGTCCATCAGAATCAACCAACCCATCTGAAACCAATATCCCTGAGACAGAGGTTCTAAACGTTACACCTCTCAAAACTGTTTTTGAAGTGTCCTCCACGTCTTACACTCCAACCACATCCTCAAATTCATCAAAATCTGATATACACCCAGATTTTCTGATATCTCCCTCTCACAGAAATTCTGAAGTTAACCAACCAGAACCACCTCTTTCTTCTGAAATTCTCATTCCCAATCCTACCCCAACACCTAAGCCATCTTCTGGAACTCTCATTCCCAATCCTACCCAACACCTAAGCCAAGGACATCTGAGTGTGTACCCTCTGCTTCGTGTAAACTATTTTCATCTCACAAACTTCTCTCTGGTTTCAACTTAAAAAATTTCTACACCAGAATTGAACCATCTGACACTATCACTCCTCTTAAACCCAAACTTACCATCATTCTACCATCTGTTCTTCAAACGTATATTAAAAAACTGCCAGCAGTAATTTCATCAGATGCAAAACCATACTCTTCTAAATCTGCTAAATCTGCATTCAAACCTTACTCTGATAAACCATTTGATGTTGTTTCCCATGCATCAAATGTAAAACCAAATTTGTTGAATGCTTTAACCAGATCAAAACCTGACAAATCATCTGATCTTCCATTCATACCCTTCTACCCTCGTCCTCTGATCACCATTCCAGAATCCTTATTTCCACCTTCTCCCCAACTCAAGCCAATCACATTGGAAACTCTTCTAAACCCAAAACCTAGGCTGAATGTTGATCATTTATTTACAAGTTTTTTGAAAGAAATAGAGATGTATTTAGGCTTTGTACAGAGGAAGTGTTCATCAACAATGGATGCAAATGAATCTGATGCCATTTGGAATGGCTTCATAAACAGATTCAATACTGTAGCATCAAATCTGAAGAACGTATGTTCTGATGATGCGAAGCTCAGATTTGCTGAAACTGCTAGAAGTCTATTCTGGACTGTTAAAAGATCTGCACCATTGCTTCTTAAAGATGCTCCTTCATCATCAGAAGAGAATACTGACTCTGCATCTGAAGACAACCCTCTGGCTATGACTCTGGTAGAACATCCCTCTGGATCTGCTGCTCCTAACTCCAAAGCCCCTATGGAAATTGACTCTGTTCATGCTTCAGAATCTGCCCCACCTTCCTCATCTGAGATCAAGAAAGAGTATCCAGATCTTGAAGATAAGATTGCAGTTCTGGAAGCTGGTCAATCAGAGATTAAGTCATGGATGGCTAAGCAAGATAAGAAGTCTGAAGACATGGCTCAGTGGATGTCCAAACAAGATCATAAGAATGAAACCATGGCTAAATGGATGTCAAAACAAGAACAATCCTCTTCTGAGATCACGGATCTGTTGAAGATGATTTTGTCAAAACAATCTTAGCTTATTTTTTTTTCCTGATGTTTGCATCTGATGTTTGCACATGTACTTGAATATTTTATGTTGTTTGTACTTTTTGCTCTGAATGAATGAATGAATGTCTCCATGTTTTCTCTACATGTTTTATCTCGTTTGTTTTTCCTTTTATTTGTCTTTTAAAAGTTCTTACTTTTTGCTTATGACAAAAAAAGGGGGAGAAAATAGATCTGAACTGTTTAATTAAACTCTACCAGAATGAAACTTCAGACATATCAATTTTATCTAACATAATATCTGAGTATTTCAGAACATTTGATAAGTATACTCTGTAAAAGAAACTCTGAGACTCCCAGATCATATATAAATTATCTGACTTTGACTCTGAAATATGCAAGAAACTCTGACTCTCAAATGTTTAGAACAATCAAGCTCTAACTATGAAAAATACTCAAGACAAAAAGGGAAGTTTCTATTCCTTATTAATATTTAATTCAGGGGGAGATTCATCATCTCAGGGGGAGTTACATTTATTCTCTTTACAATTAAACAAAATTTTTGATGTTTTTGTCATCATCAAAAAGGGGGAGATTGTTAGAACACAGATTGGTTCTTAATAATATCTCTATGTTTTGATGATAACTATTATGAAATTTTGTAATTAAGAATTATATACTCTAAAATTTGCTTAAGAATGTTTGCTGCAGATATTAAAATAAATATCACTCCAGAAGCAAATCAGATCTGAACATAAGAAATATGCAAGGCTCTGAAGCGTCAGATGCACTCATTAGAAGATTCTGAACGCTGCCATCAGAAGATCCTGAGCGTTGTCTCCAGAAGGATCTGAAGCAGAAGCTCCAGAAGAATCTGAAGCAAGTCAGAAGCATCTGAACCAATGAAGAATTTTGTATGAAGAGTTTTCAAGCATAGTTACTTCAGAAGACTCTGAAAGTACTAACGCTGCCAGTACTGAGGATCTGACCCAAAACTCTGCTCTGAACTTATACACGCTAAAAGCACACTTGCTGCAAAGACTCTGATTCAGCAAAACTCTGACCAACATCAGAAGGCTCTGATCAAATTAGACTCTGATGATTCTTGCTGAAAATGGTTGAAGAAGAATTCAAAGATTATGTCCGTTGGAATATCCAAACGACTCTTTCCTTATCTATGCTAGACACAAGAACACAGACAAAAAGGATTTCTCTGTGCTTTCTTCTTCTAGGAAAGGTCACTTGATGTGAAGACAAAAAGGCTCAAACCTTTTGGTACACACTTCTTAACGTGAAATACTCTTGGATCACTGTGCCTATAAAAGCAAGTCTCCACTCATCTTTTTCAGTTGACGAATCACTTGAAAAGAATTCATTATCAAAGCTCTCATACAACTCATATATTCTTTCTAGAATTAATTTCTTTGTTCTTAATCTTAAGTGAAAAATCACAGTTGTGATAAAGCTTTATTAGAAGCAATTTAACACTTATAGTTGTTATTACATTTGATTGTAAGAAAACCTTAAGAAGATCCAGTTAGGATCAGTAGTTCTTGAGAAGACTTTGAACAGTTGTTCTTAGTGCTTACTATTATAATCAGTTGATTAAATAGTGGATTAAGTCCTTGATTGAGAAAGGCAAATCACTCTAGAAAGGGTGGACTGGAGTAGTTGAGTTCAACGAACCAGGATAAAAATAACTGAGTTTTTACTTCTAAGTTTTTATCTTCATACTTATTCAACCCCCCTTCTAAGTATTTTCTCCTCATAGCTATTTAGCAGGTTGAGGTCTCGTTCGTTAACGGAATTAACCAGACAAATTGCTCCACCAACTAAGAACGACCATGCACCACCACCCATAGAATCAAGAAAGAGCTCTCAGTCTGTCAATCCTTACTATGTCTGGACCTGGTAAGTTTCCATGTGTTAAGTCAAATTAAGCCGCAGGCTCCACTCCTGGTGGTGCCCTTATGTCAATTCCTTTAAGTTTAAGCCTTGCGACCATACTCCCCCTGGAACCCAAAGACTTTGATTTCTCATAAGGTGCCAGCGGAGTCCTAAAAGTAACATCTGCTGATCCCTGGTCGACATCGTTTATGGTTGAGACTAGGACGGTATCTGATCGTCTTCAAGCCCCCAACTTTCGTTCTTGATTAATGAAAACATCCTTGGCAAATGCTTTCGCAGTTGTTCGTTTTCCATAAATCCAATAATTTCACCTCTGACTATGAAATACGAATGCCCCTGACTGTCCCTGTTAATCATTACTCCGATCCCGAAGGCCAACACAATAGGATCAGAATCATGTGTTGTTATCCCATGCTAATGTATCCAGAGCATAGGCTTGCTTTGAGCACTCTAATTTCTTCAAAGTAACAGCGCCGGAGACACGACCCGGCCAATTAAGGCCAGGAGCACATCGCCGGCAGAAGGGACTAGCCAATCGGTGCACACCAGAGGCGGACCGATCGACCCAACCCAAGGTCCAACTACGAGATTTTTAAGTGCAACAACCTAAATATACGCTATTGGAGCTGGAATTACCGCGTCTGCTGGCACCAGACTTTCCCTCCAATGGATCCTCGTTAAGGGATTTAGATTGTACTCATTCCAATTACCACACTCAATGAGCCCGGTATTGTTATTTATTGTCACTACCTCCCCGTGTTAGGATTGGGTAATTTGCACGCCTGCTGCCTTCCTTGGATGTGGTATCCGTTTCTCAGGCTCCCTCTCCGGAATCGAACCCTAATTCTCTGTCACCCGTCACCACCATGGTAGGCCATTATCCTACCATTGAAAGTTAATAGGGCAGAAATTTGAATGATGCGTCGCCAGCACAAGGGCTTTGCGATTCGACGAGTTATCATGAATCATCAAAGCAACAGGCAGAGCCTACGTTGACCTTTTATCTAATAAATGCATCCCTTCCAAAAGTCGGGGTTTGTTGCACGTATTAGCTCTAGAATTACTACGGTTATCTGAGTAGTAGATACCATCAAACAAACTATAACTGATTTAATCATCCATTCGCAGTTTCACAGTCTGAATTAGTTCATACTTACACATGCATGGCTTAATCTTTGAGACAAGCATATGACTACTGGCAGGATCAACCAGGTAGCATCCATTAATGACTCTGCACATAGTGCAAGTTTTGCGCCCCCAAAGCGGAGCAAAACATGCAAAAGAGCAGGGCATAATTTTAAGCAACCATTAGTAAGGGACATAATGGGATAAACCAAAGGTCATCTCAAGTACCGCCTCCAAGAAATCAGTGAATACATGCATACCGCAAGAGACGCCGCACGTGGCATCTAAAACGGCACACACGCATCACTTCAAAAGCCACCTCAACACCAAGAAATTGTGCGGGATGGTTCAAACATAATCCGACCACTTGTTTACCATTTTATAGGCAAGACAAATAGGAACAAAAAACACACACCGAATGCACACGATGAAAAATGACTAGGATTGTGGTGTTCGTCGTTCAGTGCAAAAGCACAGAGCCAACAAACACATACATCCGCAATGCTACTCACACGCCCCTGCGTCAACAAGATCCAGCATTGCAGAACGTACCACACCCCGCATGCCAAGGCATGCAGGCAAGTGGAAGCATCCAACAACGCCGGTTCCGCCGCGCTAAGCATGAAAAACAAAACCAAGGCACTAGGACAATTGGCACACCCGCACGCAAGCGCGTCATTTTCATCATCGTCAAAGTCTAAGTCTAAGTCAAACGCGTGGTAGTTTTGCCCAATTTTAAGGCAAAATTCCAGGCCGCGGACGGTCAGTGACCATGTTCAGACCGACCGTACGGCCAGGCCGGGCACCGCCTAAAATTTGATCCTCGACCAAAAGAAATTAGACTCGCCGATTAGAAATTCCAAATCCGTCAGATTTAGCGGGAAGGCCTCAATTTTGCATCTGTTTTCCCCCACGCGACGTACTACGGCCTCGTCGGGGCCTTTCGTTTGACCTGCCCGGGCACCACAAAATTCATCCAAATTTTTAATTTCAATCAAAGAAAATTAGATTCTCCGATGAAAATTTCAAATTTTGGTTGAATTTTGTGCAAGCGAGGCCTCACTTTTGCATCCGTTTTCCCCTACGCGACGTACCGCGACCTCGTCGGGGCCTCCCGTTTGGCCTGCCCGGGCACCAAAAAATTCATCCAAATTTCGATTTTCAATCGAAGAAAATTTGATTCTTCGATGAAAATTTCAAGATTTGGTTGCATTTTGTACAAGAGATGCTTCTTTTGCGCGTTAGAACTGCCCGGGGCGCCCACAGAATGCCCCCATAAGGCCTGCACGCGCCCAGGCCTGCCCTGCCCTGCCCAGGCCAGCCAAGGGCCTCCCCCTATATATGTTTGAACAACAAACCCTGCTCTGGCAGCAAAAGGGTCCCTTTTTCCCTGTAGACATAAATCCCCTTTTTTATGACTTATACTTCGAATTTTTTCATGATTTTTTAGATTCTTATTTAACATAATATAAGCACCCCTCCCATAAAAAATTTGAAATTTTCGACGAAGTATGAATTAATTAAGATTTTTCTAAGCGCCGAGTTTTTGCAAAACAGAAACTACGGAAA